ATTTTATATTTTGATTTATAACATAATTAACAAAATCTGAACTCCAAAAATAGGAATTCCTCTTTTAAATATATAACACTAACAGCCCACATACTAATAGCCACCATGCTACCTGGAAGATAAAGTTCTAAATTGCACTTAGTTGGGCCATGTGAAATTGGGCACACAGAAAAATTTTGCATTGGAGAAATGGTATAAATGAAAAACTTGCAAATGGAAACAATATCATTTGTCCCCAAATTACCTCTCTATTTCATGTGATGACTAGACTTTTTGTGCATCTTTTGCTTGCTTCATGATCCAGCTGTTTTGCTCAAGGTTGATGCAGTATTCAGGTCAGATATGCATCAAATGGTCTGTTTTGTAGATTTCATGTTTTATTTATGGTTATTGTTTTAGATGTTATTTCCCCAATCTTCTGCTGAATCCCTGCCAGAATGACTCTTTAAAATAACAAAAATGGTGTGAACAATGGCAGTTGTTGCTAGAATATTTTCCTTGGTATAACTGACACTGCTGACAGGAAGTGAGAATTTTGGTTTGGCCTGAAGGCTTAATGTAAATAAAAATCTAAATGACTCAGTATTTTTTATTACTAAGTTCTGCTGGTAGTAGGATTCTCTATCATTTTAACCCCCACTGCATAGGAAATAACTAACATAGGTGCCAACCTGTGCCAGAAATTCAATTAACTAAATATGAAGGTGACCCTTTTGTCCAGTGGGTGCCAAGGCTAAAAGTTAAAAAAAAAAATCATTGTTTTTCTGGGTGAATGTGTGAGATAACCTTGACTGCCAACAAGTCCTTTCTGATTTTGTAATTTTTTGCAATTTTGCAGTGATAAATGTAATGACACATTTGCGTAAGACATTAGAGTTTCTAAAAGTCATTTTATGTATCTTATTTCTCAGAACAATCTATAGCACTTTAGGTAACATTATCTCCATTTTATATTTATTTATTTATTTTAAAGATTTATGTATACAAGTGCTGGCCAGATGTGCGGGAGGGTCAGAGGATTCACCAGAGACAGAGCAGGGAGCAGAACAGGCAGACTGAGGAAACACACTGCTGAGGGGAGCAGCGGGTGAGACAGGAGAGGTCTGCTTCGCTATGTGGGATTCTCACCTGCCGGCCAGGATTGAACCCACGCTGCAGAGGCTGTAGATTGCTTCACAGTGCGTTGTTCAACCACCTGCACCACCAGGGAGGCCTTCCATTTTATATTTAAGGAAACATTAAATTTAGTTGAAGGGCTTACCTAAAGTTCCTAGAAACCAGTGGAGATGGTATTCAAACTGTAGCCTTAACTCTTTAGGTCATGGACTAAAATTTTACTACTGCATGTTGCTATTTAGGTTAACATTTTGTAAATCCCTTTGGTTCACACCACTGTACAGTTACTAATTACTGAATCAGTAAGTGACAGTTTTCTTAGGTCACTACAAATTGAGATGCTGGTCAGTTCAAAGAGAAGAGAAAGAAGCTAAGAGAATATGAAAAGTTACTAAACCACCTTGAAATTTTATGATAGCAAAACTGTTTTTGGAACTTCAAAGAATTTAGATTTTGCTATATTTTATGCTCATTTATCACAAATGTGTTTTTGAAAAAATTCTCAAAGATAATAGTAACTTTATTAGGAAGATTACAGTTTTCCTGGTTTTATTTTTTTGTACAGTAGACATGGGTAATCATCTCCTAATCTGCGTCTTGTAAGTTAAAGTTTTTTTTAGAGCAAGGGTTCTTGAAATCTGAGGTTTACATTTCCTAAAGTTAAGAAGAAACTTGTTGGAACATGAGTGACTGAACTTGAGAGGCACGTTTTTGCTTATTGGTGTTCTACTCCATCTGAGCTATGCTGAAAGGTTATCAAAGAAATAGCAATTGATTCATGCCAAAGCTGAGGACTGTGCTGGTTTAATGTCAAATTGAAGAGGTATGATACTATGGGAGATAATATTTTTCCCTTTTTTTTTTTAACTTCTCAGACTTAAATAGAAAAAAGGAACAAACAAAACTTGTGGGTTTTACACTCTTCCAATCCCACCTCTTATCCAGTCTTGATCACAGAAAATAGGACCAGCCAACATTTTAGATCACACTCTCTTCCAGACACTTGCCTTATTATACCACTCTGCTTACCATCACATCATGCCCAGCCCTTTCTCTTCACTGCCTATGTCACTAAGAAAAGAGTGGGATTTTCTGTCAAAACTCCTGCAACTTCACCTCATCCCCCTCCCTAACTTAATGGCATTTCCCTATCTGCTTACTACTTTGTGCCAGAAAATAGAGTCACCTTGCTAAAATTATTTCTAGTCTGTACTAGTAATCCTGTCCAGATCCAGATCCTTTCAAGAACTGTTCTGTCAATTTCACCATTACATTCAACCATTTCACTCCCTCTTATATTTTAACCAAAGAAAACACAGGCCTCTTCCATATTAAGTCAGCATTATCTTTTCAATCTCTCTCTCTCTCTCTCTCTCTCTCTCTCTCTCTCTCTCTCTCTCTCTCTCTCTCTCACTCACACACACACACACACAAACAGAACTAGCTACACAGCTAAGGTATGTGCCTGTGGATGTATGAGCTTTATTTTCTCCTCACCCTTTTATACTTCACCCTAGGTGTGGCTCACAACCTCTTAGCTCCCCACCCTGTTCCTTTAAAACTGTTTCCTTAGGATCCCTTATGTTTTAATATGCTTTAAACTTTATTGAAGCATAAATGATAACACATAATGTTAAACTTACTTAATACATACTTCTTGGTGAGTTTGGTCATATGCATATACCCACGATTTCATCAGCACAATCTGAACACATCCAGGGAATTACTGCCCAATAGCAATAAAGTTTCACTTTTGCAAGATGAAAAGGAGCTGGAGCTCTTCTGTGCAACACAGTGCGCACAGTTAGCAATATGCTATTGGGCATTTTATGTTAAAAGGATATTTCATGCTAAGCGTTCTTGCTACCAAAGAAATAAGCCCATAAGAGAACACATACACATTTTTTATTCCATAGCTTGTTAAAATTGAGTAGATACATTTTCCTTTGGAAATTTACTTTTGTGATCATAAAATCAAGTAATACAAGCTAATTATGGACTATACATGCATACAGAGTATATAGGATATATATATATATGTGTATATATATATATAATATTTTCATTTTCAGTAGTTTGCTTATCTGTTATTTTCCACTACCCCCAGTTTTAATTATATTTGCTAACATCATCCTATTTTATTTTGAAAGAATCAGACTTTAGCTTTTTTTTTCATTTTACTTTTTATTTTGTCTCTTCCATTGAATAACTTGATGCCTTCCTCCTAGTTCCATTAGAGTTGTTCTTTTGTACTTTAAAGCCTGAATTCACTTATAATTGAAATTTAAGAATATGGATTTTCAGGAGGAGAGCTTTAGGGAATATATATTTTTTGTTCAGCATAATTCTACATGACATATTCAAAATATACTAAAATTGTATTTTATTAGGGTTTAGAATTTATTTCAGAGAATATTTTTCCTCTTTTCAACTGATAGGAAATATCAAACAGACTGAAACGAAACTATTTCTTTTTAAAATGATATTCTGATCAGAGAATGTAGTTAAAATAAAATGTCTTCCCTTTTTTTAAGAAGCTAAGTTTTCCCTTCACTTATTACAGTGGTACATAATGAATTTTATAGTTAGTATATCATTCAAATATCTTATACATTAAAAATTTTATCTGTTTGCTAGTTATGGAACAATAGAGGGATGTTTAACGCTCCCGTAACAATTACTTCTGTCAAAATTTTGACAAGGTCACAATGCATATGTTGTTATACTATTAGATGCCTAATTATACTTTCTTTGAACTGACTTGATTTTATATATGTAAAGATGTTCTTTTTTCTTATCCAATGTCAATTTTACCAGTCTTTTTGCTCCATCTCTTTATTGTAAGTATTAATTTTTAATTTCTCTGGATCATACTTTATTGATGCCAATCACTGTTAGTCCCTGAATAGGGTCTTTAAAGAGTCATTGATAACTTTGATGAAGTCTTAATGTTTTCTGTACTACTACTGGACATGCTATTGCTTTTCTGTTTTTTATCTGGACTACCATTTGGGCAATGAATATTTCCACCCTAGTCACAGGTAATAGCTGAAGGAATAATACATAGATGACTTATTCCCCAACATAATTGTGAACAACCTTATAGTATAAATATAGATTTTTGGACCCTCCTTTCTTTCTGACAATAATCAGCAGAAACTGGTTCCTTTTAAAGATGGAGCATGCTCCCTCATCTGGTTTCAGGAGCTTGTTATCTGTACGGTCTCTGGAGTAGTTTTTAATTGCAGTACCTTTGAATCATAGCATAAATTTCAGGTGTTCATTGATAAGAATGACATGAGTATGTACTACAATATACTACAATAAGGTCATTGCTAAGAGTCCAGATCTATCCTTGACACCATTGTCTCTTCTCCCCACTTTCCCCACTTCCCTTCCCTTTTGGTAACCACTAGTTGGTTTTCTAGTCCTGATGTTTATTTTTGTGTTATTAGAGGCTCTGTCTTCAACCTTTGTTTGTAAGCTTGGTGCAGACATGATCAAAATCTCTTAGCAACAATCTGTCTATCATGCCTTTTTTTGTAATTCCTGTTTTTGCATCAGAGAGAAGCACAGAAACCAAAAGAGAACAAGCTCTTAGGTCGGAGAATAAAGTCCTGTTTACTGGGTCCTGTGCTGCTGACTGGACCAATAAGATGCCTGTAGGGTGGACTAGACTGACGTATTTACATGCAAAAACACTAGATTTCCTGTTCAAGTATCTTGGGTTTCCAAGGCTTTTGACCTTGTCTGTCTTGCTGAATTTGTTTTAATGCCTTTATCTAATTTCCTAAAAACCTGTTTTGTCCTCTATATGTTGACCTACTTCTCTTCCCTACCTATCAACAAACACTTTACGAACCTTAAACTTGACTGTGACCAACCTGATTCATGTTCTCTGCAAGAGTGATGTGTGTCCCAATTTTCCTTTTAAAACTTGACTCTGTCCTACCTTCTGCTTCTGAGTTGGTGAGACACTGACTCACAAAGGGGAGAATGGCTGGTCTCTGTGCATGAAGAAGAAAGCATTACTGTCATTCAGTAAATGTGTTCTACTTCCTATTGAAGTTCCCCAATAGAAAGCAAACCATCCAAAAGAAAACCTATAACAAAACAATTACCTGGAAAGTGAGTATATTCTTTCTCATGCATTTAGAGGGAGTTCTCAGGAAAAGAATCATTGCTAAAGCAAGATGCCTGAAATTTTCAGACCCAGGGTGTTTGAACGATATAATAGGAATTCAAGCAGAGCTGCTAGATACAGTGTTATTCCTAGCAACTTTATCATAGATTCTCATGTTTGTGTGGCTCATTTTATAAAGCTGTCTTGTTGGAATTTATTCTACCAAGTAGTCACTTTCTTTTCCAATGTATTATTCCAGGTATCTAACCTCATATCCCTATCTTCATCTTTTTTTTTTTTTTTACCTTGTCATCATTCAACCATTCTTTATCTTTCCCATGTGACATTTTTATTGCTCTCTTTAAGTCTGTTGTTTAGCTTGAACTAGACTTAGGACTACCACATTATTTTTTAAAACTGAAGGTGCCATCAGAAATAGCCCCACTTCCTCATGCTTACCTTCTTACCCAAGCTCTTCTCATTTTGCCATTATAGTGAAATAAACATTTCACTACAACAATACAATTTATATAGTATTCCTAGTAATTTACAGTTTGAGGGGATGGGCATGCTTGAAAATAAGCTATAGTATAGGCTAATTATTTATGCCTATACATGTTATAATATAGGTGGCACATGTATCATATGGAAATCGGTATCTTTGTGTATTTCATTAATTGAAGGAAGCTAATGTTTTGATTTCAGTGGTGCATTGTGCCTTTGGAACATGTTTCCCTTGAGCCTTTTCTTAGTGCTGTTTCACCTGACCTCTCTTGACTGGCTGCTGCTTCTGTAGGTGAACTACCTGAAGGCTGCATTTCTTGTTGGAAGATCAGTCTTTGGTAAACATTATTAAGTAGAAATGGCAATGGGATATTAGCACCTAATTGGTAATTTTCCAGAAGAACTAAAAGATCATAGAAAGAGGGCCTCCCCTGCTGGCACAGTGGTTGAGCGTTGGGCTGAGAAGCTGCCCACAGCCTCTGCAGTGCTGGTTCGTTTCCTGGCCACCAGCGAGGGTCCCGCACGGCGCACAGACCTCTCCTGCTGCCCGCTGCTCCCCTCAGCAGTATATTTCATCAGTCTGCCTGTTCTGTTCCCCACTCTGGTGAATTCTCTCACCCTCCCGCACTTCTCACTATACCCAGTGCTTGTATGAATAAATAAATCTTTAAAAAAAAAATCATAAAAAGAGGCAAGACATTTTTGAGACATATGGAAACATTTGAGAGCAAATACTTGTAATAGTAGACAGTGGATTTCCATGCTTCCTTGACTATTAACCTGGTGGCTTGTGTTATTGAATGAATTATGGTTTGCTTAGTCAGTTAATGCTTCACAAGAATAATGAACATTTGATCTGAAAGAGTGGCCTAACTTAACAGATAGGAAATTTTTATTTTAGACATCTGATTGAACATCTGTTGGTGTTTAATTGCATTCATGTCTTTCTAATGATGCTGTGGGCTCCCTTTGGAATTATCTTACAAAATGCTGAATACAGCCATGTGTTAACAAAGGTGCTCTGCTCTCTCAATGGAAGGCCCTGCTCAGAGATGTGATCCAAAATTGACTAAGATCTGCTCTCTGAGTCATGAGCAAATGTAGGGAGATATGGATAGTGCTCTTTGATTACAGCTGTAGTGTCTTAGTGTGGCAACACTACCTAGACCATGGTGATTGCTCTTCATTCTAACTCTTTGAACTGAGTTGCAAGTCTGAAATCTTTCCACTGTAAAACACATCCTCTCAGAAATAAGCCCAGTGGACAGCTAAACATACAGCTTAAGAGCATGAGCACTAAAGTCAGACTGTAAGCAGTTCAGCCTTGGCTTTGCAACTAATCAAATGACATTGGACACAGAATTTGGTCCCTTGAGTCTTCTACTTCTAGGATAAGTACAATTGTATACTTTTTCTGTTTACTCTGTGGAGTTACATGTATGTAAGGCCTTAAGAATAGAGGTTGAGACAGCATATATTCAAGATTTAATTATGATGTATATTGTCTCAAAACTGTCTTTAGTCTTAACACACGCATTTCAACTATTCAAAGTCCTTTCACACTCATAATCATTTGACATATACTACAAGTCATTTTCCATCAAAAAGGTTACATTAGCAAGCTTCATATTCAGTGGGCAAGACTACACCACTTACTTCCATCCAAAGCAAGCACAATGAATATCTTTCACACCGAAAGTTGTGCTGTGGCAAATTTGTTATTTATATAGTCCTGCCAGGAAACATCTCAAAGAAGCCTCTGCTGTCATTAATTGCAGGGTAACTTGATCAGGAATGTATTCCTCACAGTACCTGTCAGGAAGAACCATCATAGTCTGTGTTGTTGCCATTCTCACTGTTGTGAATTAGCTGAGTTGATAAACCTCGAGTTAAGAATCAGACAAGGAAACATTTTGAGGCTTCATGAAATATTGAGTCTCTCTATACTTAAGGGTTGACTCATTCATTGCTCAAGAGCAGGGCAGAAAGAAAAAAAAAAGCTATGCAGTGATCAAATCCTAATACTTGAAAGGGATATCGGGTCATGCCCTTTGCTTATTACACTTTGTTAACTTTTCTAGTCCTGTATTTATTTTGCAGTCCTTATTTATTACACTTTAGTATGTTCTGAATTGCTTTGCAAGAGAAAAAAAAAATACACCCAGGAATGATAACTAACTGGAGGCAATTTAAGTAGCTGGTGTGCTCTGGTATCTGTCAGCTAAAAAATGCTAATAGCATGCTATTCACTTAGAGTTTACTTGTAAGATTAATGGTATGAGATAGCGTACTTTATATCCTTATTCCGTTTATCAGCATGAGATAAGAGGGGAAACGGTTTTGAAAATATAGACATTTTATTGTTAATTTTACTGAGAATATATTTTTCCAAAGGTACTTCTACGATGTTAGCATGGTTCTGACACATTCTTAAGTTTTAAAACTTCAAAATATATATTGATCACAAGCTTAGGAGGCAGAAAGGCAGGGCATTCAAAATAGGTTACCAGAAGCTCTGTTGATCAAGAGGGAAGTAGCATACATGCTTTTTTGTCTGAAATGCAGGCCATGATCCCAGGCCATACTTTTGATAATTTAGACAAGTTAGAGGAAAGAAATATTCAGAATAATTTTTTTATGACCGAAATTAAAATTAGTTCCAAATAGTTCTCAGGCCACCTATAAAAACCTACTGTATATTCTTGTATTTTGATGTTAGCAACATTAGTTTTCTTTCATTTAATATGACATTACCCATTTCTTGAAAAAAAAAAATTTACTGAATTTTTAGATAAGTTAAATCTAAGCCCACTTTGGCATCAATATACCAACAAAGACTTCTTTCTAAAAATTAATATTTAATAGTTTCATTAATACAAATGGCATTTCCAATAAGTCCTTTAATTACATTGTTTCTATAAAAATAAATGAAGGAGTCCTCAAAATTAATGAGTCCTCAGTTGAAACCTAAAGTTTGATAAATATATTTTTGAGGGAATTGTTATAAATACAGGACTAGAAAATTCAAGCAAAGGGCTATGGCAGTGGTATTTGAATTAGTCAATAACTTTGAGAAGATCTTGTACTAAAGTGGATGTAAGGGGAAGCAGACAGTAATGCAAATAAATCTCTTTATGAATATTTTGCAATAATATAAAGATGTTCTGGGCAAAAAGTTGAAATATGTGCTAAATTTAGTATCCTTCTTACTGGGCTGGTGCACATATAACCTTAACTGTACCCTGCTGCTCTTCCTTTCATGGACCTTACATTTAATTATTTAGCTTGTCAATCCATCTGAAACAAAGCCAGCTCTTTTTAAGTTCATTTCTTCCTACCCTGACTACCATCCATCCATGTTACATAGGTCTTACCACATCACTATAGGAAACAGTGTGTTTATATTAGCAAAGGTTGGAATTGCTAAGAATACCCACCAACTCAGTTGGCAAAGTATATGAGAAATTACTTCATCAGCAGCTGACCATGGAGAAGCAGGGCAAGGCGTAAGGAAACTCAGGCCAGGCTGATATTGACAAGTCCCAGCTGGACAGGGTGTGTGTGTGTGTTCTGTGCATTTTATGGGTCTGTATTGGATGTACTAGGCTCTGAGACAGTGGGGATATAAGGTATAGAGTGTTGTGTCCACAGAAGACAATGAAAGGAAAGGACCAGTATGTGAACAATTACACAGATTGGAAAAACTATAATTGGTGTAAGTACAGGGACTACAGGAGCATATAAGAAGGACACCTAACAGTTTCTGATAGGAGAGAAAGGTATTGCTGAAGATGACGATGCCTAAGCTGAGTACTAAAGGATAAGGGAAAAGTGAACCACTGACAGGAAAGCAGTTCTACAGTGTGAAGATTTTTTTTTTAAGATTTATTTATTTATGCATACAGGAGCTGGGGTACAGGCCAGAGATGTGGGGGGTGAGAGGATTCACCAGAGACAGAGTGGGGAACAGAACAGGCAGATTGACTGAAGTACACTGCTGAGGGGAGGAGCAGGTGATACAGGAGAGGTCTGCTGCACCATGTGGGTATCTCCCTGGCTGGCCAGGGATTGAACTCATGCTACAGAGACTGAGAATTGCTTCAGAGTGTGGTGCTAACCCCTTGCACCACCAGGGAGGCCCGACAGTGTGAAGGTCTTTCCAACCATAAGAGATAAATGCACTGAGAATGGCTGTTAGTATCAGTTGGGTTGGAGAGCTGGATGCCAGAGGGCTCAGGATGTGAAACTTTTCTTGTCTTTACTGGGATTAGTTTAAGGACTTGGTATGGGAGCAGGTGGAGCTATTCCAGGAAAGGTCAGTGAAACAAGTGAAAGCAAAGATGGGGAGGCGGGCAAAGAATACTGAAAAAGAAAAACGATTCCCTATTTCCTCCAAGTTGATCCTAAAAATTTGTTTCCTGCTAAGGATTATCATACTTAAATAAAAAAATACTTTGTTGAAAGTATGATGGCCATGAAGAAAATTAGGGAAATTAACTTTAGGAGGTAAGCAGGAAAGAAGGAAATTGAGGCACTATTTTCATTCAACAAAAGTATTGTTAATCATGTGCTATGCGATTAGAGCCATCTGAGTGTTTCAGATACCGTACAAGGCTGGAAACTAAAATAGTTTAAGAACACACAGGAACATGAGTCCAGCAAGGTTGGGGATAAAGGGATGTCTGTGAAATGATCCTATAAAGCACTCTCGTAATTGTCAAATGTGAATCGTGCTAGAAGAGAGAAGTAGCAGAAATTTAAATTTGCACATCAGGAAAGCCTTCACTGAAGGGATGACATAAACTTAGATATAAAGGATGCATAGTTCTCCAGGTGAGAAAGATGTGAGTTTGCTCACATCAAATGTGAAAGAAGCCCTTGTACTAGAATGCTATAAAGGAGGAGGGTGGGTTGGAACATAGTAAAGCAGAGTGTGGAAAAAATAAAACTGAACTAAGGTGGAAGCAAAGACATGTAGAATTATTGCAGAGATTTGGTATTATAATCTAAGTGCAACAAGAAGCTGGTGAGGGACTTGAAGTGAAACATACTAGTCCACTTTAAAGGCTACATGGAGAATGGGTAGAGAGTAGGAAGCAAGAATAGAAGTAAAAAGATCAGGACAAAGGTTCTCTCATAATCTGGACACATTAATCAGTTATGTTATAGTTTGTCTGCCTGCTATGCTTTCCCACTTCTTTGGGGACATGTCACCTCCACACATCCTAGATGACATTATTAGTTTTGATGCCCAAAGGTAGTTAGTGAGAGCATGTCCTCTAGTAATGTGCTAGGCTCCCAAACGGACAATAACTCAAGCAGAATTGATCAGCACGTGATTGTATATGTGGGGTTCACATACACATGGCAGAAAAAAGTTCTTTTCCATTGCAGTAACTATGCTAGTGCTATATAAGCAGAGTGCTCCTGGAGGCCATTTAAAAAAATACAGTCAACTCAGTAGGACTATCCCCATTCCTGGCCAGGACTAGCATGAGTGAGCAAGGCACTCACACCAGAGCCAAGATTGAAGACAGGGTAGGTATTACTCATTTTTCCTCCCATTGAGCTCACATGTTGTTGATACCCTGCTTAAATTTGGTTTAATGTGTACCTGTTTTGCATTAATTTTTTAATGTGACATGAAAATATTATTGGCCTTTCTTACTGAGTGGTTTGAAACTCCCTGAAATCCTGCATCCTAGATAAGTGTCTCACTCAGTTCACATTAGTTCAACATGCCCCGCTCATGTTGGATCTGTTTGGCACTACTACCCTATTCCTGTGCTGCATATGTCCTTGTGAACAGCAGAGCCCACCTTTCATTACACATCTAAAAATGCCAACTATGTCCACAGTGGATATGGTTGATTGGTTAAATTCACATCTATTCCAACAGACTTGCATATTGTCTTCTACTTTAGAAGCCAGAAAACTATAACTATATTCCCCAGGTTACCCTAAAACTACTGAGCAGGCAGGTAATCTAGGTTCTACTGATCTTACAGCTTCATCTAGGACTTGGATGCTTAGGAAGTGAAGGCAGGTACATAGCCATGAGAGAGCTTCCTCAGCTTGACTGTAGAAGCATAAACAATCTCATATTGCTTAACAACTGGGATACATACTGAGAAATGTGTCACTTGGTGGTTTGGCTGTGTGAACCTCATAGAGGGAACTCCCACCAACTGAGATGGTTTAACCTTCTACATACCTGGGCTACATGGTAGATACAGTCTATTGCCTGTGGACTACAAACCCACATGGCTTGCTACTGCACTGTGTCCTGAGGCAGTTGCAACACAATTGTGTTGCAGTTTGTGTAAGTAGACAGATCTAGACAGAAAAGGTACAGTGACAATATGGTACAAAAGATACAAATGGACACTGGTACGGCACTTACCATGCAGGGGACTTGTAGGATTGGAAGTGAATATGCATGAATTGAAGGCCCAGGATATCACTGTACACCGGGTATTACTGTACTGCAGACTTTGAAACCCTGAACTGTACACTTTGCAATGGTGGTTCTAGAGTTTCAGTTAAAATGACCTATTATTTCTTTTGTAAAGTTGAAAATTAGTTAATATTTCTCTTTTGTGGCTCCCTTACTCGATAGCAATTTTTCTCATTCCACCCATTAGGTGCCTATCAATCAGTAAAATATTTCCTGAGTGCTTATTAACTAGACATTGCCATATCTGGAGTAAAGAATAAATAATTCTTAAGAAAATCAGCATTTGGCTCAAGGATAAACATGAGGAAACATCTGTAGTGCCCTGCTCCCACTCCTAGCTCTACCCTTTCCCAAACATGTTACTTACTTCTCTGAGTCTCAGACTCCTCATCTGTAAGCTAGAATAAAACCTTTCTCACTGGTGGATCTGATGATTAAAATATATATATAAGACCTCTGTATTCAGTACTAACCTTACTGTACCATTTTTACTTTATACACTTAAATTGTTTCCTTCTATGACTTTTGTGATAGCTAAAAACATGAATGCATTACATTACTATAATTTCCTCCTTTTAATCCTTATTAAATAAGTTGTTTTCTCTATACAATTTTTTAATTTTTAAAATTTTTGTAAAAAGAAAACTCACAGTTGAGAGATTACTGTCATCCATCTCCTTACCTCATCCCCTTGGAGGGTCTTCAGGAGCTATAACCTGCAAGGGTCTGTCATCTCCTATGGCAACCATACCTTCTTTCGGGATCTTTCCTGAGGAATCTGCTGTCTGCTGCTCTTTTCAGAAATATGTTCATGGTGCTTTGTTTGGTTTCCTTTTTTTTTTTTCTGTCATAGATTTTCTAGTAAGCAGATTATGTGCCATGAACATGCCTATTAATGAAAACATTTTAGTGTTAGGGTCCATGCTTTTGAAAATTTTAAAAAGCATGCTGGAGTTTTCAAAAACTAAACCTTTCCCTGTGAATTTTCCCTACAATTTCCTTTCCGGTTATCTTTTCTTCAGCTATGTGTTCTTATTCTAGTTTACACTCAGTTAATTTTTTGGGAACTGCCTCTAGGAGCTTATTCTTCTTCATCAACACCCAGGTTACAGTTACTTGCTGTCTCAAGGACAGTCTTGTATTTTTGCTTGTTTGTTTTTGGTGGAGAAGAACTGGTGTGTAGGCCAAAGGTGTGCGGAGTATAAGGATTCACCAAAGAGAGAGTGAGAAGCAGAACAGGTAGATTTACTGAAATACACTGTTGAGGGGAGTAGCAGGCGAGACAGGAGGGGTCTGCTGCACCGTGTGGGTCAGCTTCCTGGCCAGGAATCAAACTCATGCCATAGTGGCTGGTGATAGCTTGATAGTACTAAAACTTTAACACCCGCTCCACCAGGGAGGCCCCAAGCAGTGTGTTGTCATTGCTGTGCTTGACAGCCTTGGGACTCCAACTCTCCAGGTCACAGATGGTTTTAATTTGTAGCCTGCAATAGTGTCAAAGAGCAAGATCACTATCCTCTCTGCAAGAACCTTGAAACCAAGCACTGAATTGGCCTTGTTAGGGATGAAATCCTTTTAAACACCCATTTTCAGAATATGGAAATTGCATCCATATCAAAGGTTTGCTCTAGCAGGTGATTTTCCTCCACAACCAGCTTATCTAGAATATCCAAAAACTTCAGTTGCCTCCCATCACCCCTTAAGGCTCATCACTGCTTTCACATTATATAGTAAATAATGAATTGTGGACATTTCAGCCCACCTGGGCAGTCAGATCCAGCCTTTTCTTTAAACATCACAAACGTTTTACTCTGATGGTGACCACCATGGTGCTGAGAGCTAGTGTTGTATTTGGTCTTTATCCAGATCATCAGAAGTTTCTGCATATCTGATGTGGGCCTATCTCAAATTTCCAATGAAGCAGATGCTTTAACAGCTTTTCCTCTTAGTTCTTGTTTTTCAAGATTGTAGCCATGGTGGGCTGGGACTTATCTGCTCAGTGGACAATAACCATCTGTCAACTTTCTAATTTGGGAGTCCTTCTGTAGGGGCAGGGTTGGCACAGAGCAGGTTTTCTGATTCAAGCAGACTACAATCGGTGAGTCCTGGAGCCCTCAGTGGCTTTCTCAGGCTTTTATTGAGCAAATGGTACATGTAGTGTGGCAACCAGGTACACAACAGGCAGGGGTGCTGGGGGGGCAAGGAGGCCTCTCAGCCCCCGGAAGTCTTCACTCTGGGCTTCTCTGGCGTTCTTTCTCCCCTTCTCTCTCCTGTCTCTGCTTTTCCTCTCTTGGTGACGATCTCAATACTCCTCCCATGGCCCACAGAAGTAAACAAGTCAACTTATGACAATGTAACAACTGCAGGTGCCCCATCAGGCAGGGCAATCCTAATGGTTGGAGGGCAGAAAAGCCTGAAAACCATTTACCCTACACCTTCATTTTTGTTTCCAGCCCAATCACCCCTTGTGGTCTCTCACTGGCCACACAAGTAGTGGATTTTGTGTGCTCAGGGGCCATGATGAACAACAGAGCAAGAGACTAAAGCATGAATAAGAGGAAATGATGCTGTCAAGGGTCTCGGTAAACATGAGATGGGCAAGGCTGCCACCAGCATGAAACACTGTAATGACAAGAGGCAGCAGGTGGCCTCCTGCTGGCCAAAATGCCCTTATGTGATGCATGCCCACATGTGAGGATGTTAGGCACACCCTGAACTAGAGCATGCTGAGTCCACTCATGAGGGAGGGAAGGGCTAAGCATCGTCAGGAATAGCCTGTTTCACTAGAAACATCTCACTATGCAATAACACACTGATTTTCTTTTCTGACCTTGCTGCTCTCACATCTGGTTGTTTTGACCTTCTGAAGATTCTGAGAGTTACTTAATATTATTTAGGTGTTTTTTTTTTTTTTTTTTTTTTTGCTTAAACAAGCTGAAAGGGCTCTACTGTACTTACAGAGAGCTCAGTCCACAATGTTGTTGTTTTAGTAACACTTGCAGCAAAGGCACAGCCACACAAATTAGATCCAATGTATGTTTTGCACTTAGAATAAAGAACTAGCCGCAGGAAAAAAAGGGAGGGACTATGTAACATGTTTGCCTGGGAAGAAAAGAGCAGAAACAATATCAAGTTGGGGAAAGCAGTAGTGGCAGAAACACAGACTCTGAGCAGGTGATTTCACTCACTCATGTCCAGACTTCTGATTCTGGGAACATTCAAGACAATGATTTGTGCTGTTTTAAGCCCCTACATTTGTGATAATTTGTAACACAGCAATGGAAAATTTAAAAATGCTTCAGTATTTAATTGACCATGTTTTTTAGTTTTGTCTTAGCAGTACACAAAATAGTGTAGTACTAGAGAAATGATAGTTTTGTGGATTCAAGAAAATGTTGGTTACAGTGATTTAAATTTCTGCATTTTGTTCAGAAGTTCAGTTTTTCAAATTCAACATTGAAAAGCTGAAGCCTTGGGGCAGCCAGTTGGGGTGACAAGGAAGGAAAACTTGAAAAAAATGAGTATTTCAGGGTATTATTTAGGCTAAAAAACGACATCTAAACCAAGGATAAAATACTGGGTAAGTGGGGGAAGAGGTAATGAATAGAAAGAATATCTGAGAATGTAGGTAATTATATTTTCAGTCTATTCTCATCTATAAAATGGAATTTATTTTCTTATTGCACTATAGTAATAACAATATAAAATAACAAGTACATTAATATGTGATGTAATCCAGTGTCCAAAAAATGGTGACTATATTCTGTCATCAAACCCAGTTAAAGCCATGTATGTATGTTCTTGTATTCCAGTGGAGTACACAGTAAATATCTCTCCAGCAAATGAATTCTCCACTTAAGTCTAAGCTGAGTATGGTCCTGTTTTGAGAGACACCTCTGTGAACAGCATGGGGGTATCAAGTCCATGAGTGAGACCATATTTTGAGGACCAGGGTAGCTGGTCCTCAAATTTAGGGTTCCAAATTTAAAATATAGGTTCCTAAATTAAAATATAAGAATAATCTGTGTATTCAATGTCCTTTTATTTGAACAGTTATCCAAAAGTATGTGTTTAAGGCTGTGGTTTACAGGCCAGTATATAAGAATGTTTCACTGGGAAAGACCTTTTTCTCACCAAAAAAGGAAGAAGTTTCAGTAAGTGACTATCCCATCGATGAAAATAAACAAGTCATTTCCTTAAAACCAAGATACTCTAAATGTGAACCCTTTAATTCAAGAAAGCACAGGTTCAACAGAAGCATCATACTGATTGTAAAGTGAGCGACTGATTTCATGGCAGTTCAGTATTCAGAGTGGTGGACATTATCCTTCCTGGGCCCCTCGCTTACATCATAAGCATGTCAGATTTCCCATGGAGGCACAGTTACCTCTGTTGGGTGCAGGTGAATAGACTAGAGCTGTCTACCTTCTACATGTAATATATTTATTTGCAATCAGATTCAGTGTTGGATCCCCCCACTTTGCACAGATAAAAGCATGAATATGTCTGATCTGATTCATAGCAATGCTCACTGCCCACACTAAAGGGCGTGATTGTTCAAAAACTAAGCAATGTAATTAGTTGTTTGAAAATGCATTCTCAAAAACATCTGAAAGATTGAAAAGAATTAGAGAAATGTAGCACTTGTGCCACTGCTGCTTTCCCTTTGCCAAGGCTTGGGTGAGGTTTACGGCCCTACCTACCTCTCCATTCCCCTGCTGTTGAGATCCAACCTGCCTACCATTACTTATGAAGGCGCGTGGGCCTCTCTGGTATCCTGGTGAGATCAGCAGTGGAACCTTTGTTGAGCGATGGGTATCTCTCTAATTGTAGATTGAAGAGAAGAGACAATAGGGGACATCTTATTGCTGTGATACTAATGCCACCCTGAAAATTACTGTGTTTTGGCCTATAAGAGTTAAAATAATAGTGTTAATTAAACCCATATAAAAATAAGAAAAAATATAACCAGTTATCTGAGACTAAGAAGAATGTACAAATCATACCTCCAAAAATTGAGTTTCTTCCAGTAAATTTGTAAATATTCATGAAATTCAATGCTTAAAAAAGATTTTTAAAGTTGTTGAGATATTTCACTTGGGCAATTGAAAAAACCTTTATGAAGTCAAGTCTTTACATTCTCCACACACTCAAGCTATGTCTGTATGCATTTTAAGACCACATGCTTCAAATCTCTTTCCAGAAGTGATAGAGGAGGTCATATTTCTCCATGTATCATTCATCTTGTATTTCAACCACATACCCGTAAGCATTGTAGAGAAATCTAATCTCATGGTATGTTTTGTATGGACAGGGTTAACCAACTGGAACAGGTGCTTAGAAAAACCTCTGTGAAGGCCAATCTAAAATACAGATATAGCTAATGCTATATATAAATCTGTTAAATAAGCTAATTAAAATGTCATTTTTGTACAGGAATTTATGTTCACTATATATATGTATATTACATACACACACACATCTAACAGTTGGCTAGCCCACATGCTCATTTACTTCTGGGGTTTATCATAAAGCTAGTGGAATTCTGACCATTACAAGCAAAGATTTTAAGACTTTCAATGTATCCCATTTAATTTATAATAATCTAACTTTTTCAGAACTCCAAAATCCTTGTACTGAAGAGTACCAACATTCCATTGCCTCCAAATGAACCGTTGTAAGTAAAGTACAAAGGAGAAGCTTATAAGAAAGTTGATATTGAAAGTATTTAATAATCAAGATGGTTTGTATATTCAACACTTAGAATAAAGTCAGTAATGCATACTATACATGCTGTCCTAGAAAAGTTTTGAAATTTAACTTTGATGAATATTTTACTAATGATAATAGTACTAAAACATTTATAGGACATCAACTTATAATATTAGATGTAAACTACTAGTTAAACCAATTCCATTCTTAGCAACCATTTTATAAACAGGAGAAATAAGAATCAGTAAATAAATATACATCATCATCACATAGCTAGCTGATAGACGTTTTGGATTCAAATTCTGCAATTCAGATTAGAAGTTAAGGCTCTTTTCCCTTACACCATATTTATTATGTAGGACTGTTAGGCCTGTATACCAAGAAAAGCATTTTAGTAACTGAAAAACTGCTAATTTTCAATATTTGAAAAAGCACTTTAAAACTCGATTAATTATATTGCCTAGTTTTTGAACAAGCAAGACCTTTGGTGTGGAAAGTGATCATTTATGTGAATCAGATCAGACACACTCATGCTGTTATCTGTGCTAACGAGGATCTAACACTGCTTCTGATTTCAAATAAATACATTACATGTAGAAGGCAGACAGCTGCAGTGCTTCCACCTGCACCCCAACAGAAGGTAACTGTTTCAAGACTCCGGGGCACTATTTGACTCCAAACAAGGGGTATGGGGCAGAGGGTGTTCATTGCTCTAATAAGGAGATTCTGCTGAAAAATAAGTTGTTCACTTTACAATCATGTATGGAGCTATTTCTGTTGCTATCCACTTATCAGAAATTTCTTCCTCTTTCAGCAAGAAAAATATGTCCTTCCCAAGTAAATATTTCAGTATGTTGGCCTTATTCAGTCTATAAAACACAAGCCTTACCAAAAAAAAAAAAAAAAAACCCACACACTTTTGGTAATCCTCTAAGTAAATTAATTACTCCTAAATTTTAATTTTGGAACCCACTAGGAGCTACCCTGGTCATCAAAAGGTCTTCTCACTCATGGACTTGATACCCCCGATGCCCTGCATGGAGGTGTCCCTCAAATCAGGACAACACTTCAGCCTAGACCTAAGTGGCAAATTCATTTGCTGGAGAGATCTTTACTGCACAAGACACTGGATTTAGACACTTGAATACAATAACATATGTACGTAGCTTCAATTACCAAGAGCTTCACAGTCTATGAAGAAGACCAGTGCAAAAATGCAATACAGTGTGTGATCTTGCTGTGTCAGATGCAGTGTTGGTAGGGAGGAAATCCTAACCAATGCTCCTGGGCATGTTTACAATGTCCAGCTCGACTTTTAGGGAAGTAACAAAAACAGATTTAAGATTTTAAGGAGAGGGCCTCCCCGGTGGCGCAGTGGTTGAGCACTGGGTTGCGAAGCTGCCCGTAGCCTCTGCAGCGTCGGTTCGATCCCTGGCTGCTCCCCGGCCACGGAGGAGGGTCCCACATGGCGCGTAGACCTCTCCTGCCGCCCACTGCTCCCTCAGCAGTGTACTTCGGTCCTTCTGCCTGCTCTGCTCCCTGCTCTGGCTCTGGTGAATTCTCTCACCCTCCCGCGCTTCTGACTGTACCCAGTGCTTATATAAATAAATAAATAAACAAATCTTAAAAAAAAAAAAGATTTTAAGGAGAAATACATATTCACTACGAGACACTTAGAATTCAAAGCTGAGGACATTTTATATGATAAGAAGGGGCAAAATATAAAATTGAGGATCTGTAAGTGCTTACATCTTCTCAGCTTTGTGTTTCCCATAGTAAATTAAAAAGATACGGGGTCTGGTAGTCAGCTGAGGCCACTGCAAACTGGAATCCATTTCTATTTGACCTGAAAGGTTTACCTATGTTTTAAAAAGTGTTCTTTTAATTAAAAGCAATAAATCTCCCTTGCTTAAGTGACATTTTCATAAAGGAGGAAAAAAAATCAACCTACATTATGTGAAGAAAAGTTATATAGCAGTGCATCTCAAGAATTCAGGAAGTCAGTTAATAGATGAATTGTAATGTTCTGATGAGATAATGAGAATACAAAACAAACAGAGGGACAGAATGGAATGGCATAAGCAATATTTAAAAAAAATGATTGATCAGAAGTGGAGATGAGAAGAAAAGGATATAGATCTCCACTCTCACGCCTTAACTGATGGTGTATATATCCACCAGCATGTTTTACAAAGGTCCAAATCTAAGTTATATTACAGAAATGTTCAGTCTGGCAAGATGTTTTAAACCAAATCAACAAACATTTGATTTAATATTGTGATTCTGAATCAGATATTTGGCATCAGAAAAATGTATTTTGTGCTAGAAATTGGCAAGCTGGCAATTTCTGCAGTGCCTACAATTGAACTATCCAGTTTATAGACCATGAA